TGGATGTGGCTAACCAGCGCAACATTATGCAGACCAGTACCTACACCACCCAACTAGCCACGACTGGATATGCAGTGAGAGGCCTGCTGCAGCCTGGTCCTCCCGGGGCTGCCGTTGTGTTTTGGTTTTATGAACTATACGCATTTACAGCATCTCACATGACCTTGTGTTCACCACCGTAACATTCATTGATTGCCTGCGCACCCCTTACAATACACGCACCCGCGCACCCCTCCGCAGTCCTTTCCCTAACACAGTCTCTTAGTCCTCGCCCCGTGGTTGGGGTTCACATTCTCTGCTCGTTCCCTGTCCTTGTTGCTGTTGCTGCTGCTGACACTGCTGCCATCATCGTCACTGTCTCGAGGTCCGGTGGTGTCACCGTCGTGTTCGTTATCCCAGACCGCTCCCCCTCTCGGAGCGGCTTTGCACAGCCTTTGCCAGGTGGAATTGGTTTCATCTTCTCCATCCCCCCAGGGTCTGCGTGCTATAGATTGGCTCGTGTGCCAGAAACGTGGGACAGCCAGGCTAGGGTGCGGCAGGAAGCCCGCCAGAAGTGAAGGGAGACGTTATGAAGGTTTTGTGTCCTGGCAATGGTGAGACTCCTGGGTGGGACAGCCTGCCCAAGGAGGTCTGCGTGGCATTTTGGGACCTGGTGGCCCCCGACCTGCTGGAGCTCTTTCGAGAGCACCTGCAGGAGGGCCAGCTGGGTGCTGTGATGGACTGGGGCCTTGTGACCCTCTTGCACAAGGGTCTCAGGTAAGAGCTGAGGGACTGGAAGTCCATTACCCTCCTGAACTTTGACTATAAGCTGCTGGCCAAAGTCTTGCCTGAGCAGTTTAAATCTATCCTAGGCTCCATCATCCATGAGGGCCAGTCATGTGTGGTACCAGGATGCAGATCCATGAGGCCCTGCTGCAACTGAGGGATGTGCTCCAGCTGGAACGGGACAGAAGGCAGAAGCTGGCAGTGCTGGACCTGGACCTGGAAAAGGCCTATGACAGAGCGTCACACCGGTTTTACTTTGAGACGCTGAAGTGAATGGGCATCCCTCTGACCTTCACCGGCTGGATAAGGACACTGTACATGGATGTGAGCAGTGAGGTGCTGGTGAATAGGTTCTTGAGCACACAGACACAATAGACTGAGGGGTCTGTCAGGGCTGCCTGCTCTCCCTGATCCTGTTCATCTGTGCCATTGTACCCCTGGCCCAGCACATCAGTCAGGACCCTGGGATGCATGGAGTCCAGATCCCCAGAGGAAGCAAGGAAGAGACCAGGGTCCTGGCCTACATGGATGACCTGAACATCCTGAGCCAGAATAAGTGCTCTGTAGAAGCAGCCCTGTGGCACACATGGGTTTATGAAGTGGCAGCAGTGGCAAAGCTCAGTGTGAGCTTGCCTGGCTGTGGGTGATCTCAGGGACCTGGAGTCTCTGTGAGTCTTGGTCCTCTGCGAGGGGGCCAGGATCCTTGTGGTGGAGTTTGACCCTGAGCTAAGTGGAAGGAGGGCCTGGGAGAAGAAGGTGGCAAGGTGGACAGAAGCACTGGTAGCAACACTGCCTTCATAAGCACCATGTGCCCCACATGGAGAGATGAGCAGTGGTGCAGGGAAGGGGGGGATTTGTTGTAATAGGTGCACAGTTTCTTAATGTGGTTTAAGGTGTGTGATTGAAACTTTAAGCTAGATGCTACACACACACACACACACACACACACACACACACACACACACACACAGAGGTTGCCCTCAATTTATACTGTACATGCATTCCCAGAGAATGGTGCATAAATTGAATTTGCATAAAGCAAACCCACTTTATCATGTCAAAAACAGGGATAGGTTCCCATGGTGGTGAGGGAGGGAGAGAGGGAGGGAGTGAGGCTGGGACTAGGGAAGAGGCAGGGGGAGGGGTGCCACTCCTGGGGTTGCACAGTGCAGCAAAGCAGAGGGAAAAAAGCAGCACTCACCCCAGCCCAGGCTGCAGCAGCCCTAGGAGTGGCAGGCGGGAGCTGCCTGCAGCTGCTGGGCTGTGCCATGCTCCGCCTGTCCCCACTCACCTCTACTCCTGGGCTGCACCATGCCCTGGTGCAGGCGGCTAGTGTCGCCTGCTCCCAGGGCCACTGCAACCGGGGCTGGGGAGAGTGGGGCCACTGCTGGCCAGAGCTCACACAGGAGCCAGGCAAAGATGAGTCAGTGTGACTGGGCTGTCGGGCTGTGGGTCTGTCCCTGCTGTCCTCCA